TGGCTGGTCCCGTTTGGGCTCAGCGGTGTAAGGAAGCGTTTTGCGGCCCGTTGTGCTGTAACTTCTCGAGTTTTACGGGATGTTTTGGAGGGGTCTTGTGACCTCCCGCCTTTCACCTGGTGTTGCTCGGTTTTCAGGGGAGTGCGGAGGTATGTGAGGCTTGTTTTGGTGAAAACCAGCCCCGTTGATGTCAGGAGGGACCTGTTTTGATGCCTCTTTCAGTACCCGGTACTAAGACGTCGTCCAGAGGCTGATGCGGGGTCGCTTGCATTCAGCCTGGGCTGACATTTCTTCCCATTACAAAGCCATGAGGCAACTTTGGCTGGAGTTGGTGCCATCGACAGGATGAAGCTGATGACTCAGTTGTTTTCTGCTTCTCTGTCTTGTGCTCTCTTAAGCAGCACACGTAAACTTGGTCTGTGTGTTGCTTTTTTTTTTTCCGTTTTTTTTTTTTTAAACAATGCCTGTTCTGAATCGAAGCACTGGAAAATGCAATTAAGCTAGATACCAGAGTCAGATTGACATTTCTTGTTGTGCTGGAATTTTAGGTAAGAGAAGAATTCAACATTCTTGGGATTTTTGTCAAGGGTGGGAAGTATCCAGATGGAAGAGGTTGTTGTGAGTGCCCGTATTACCCCACCATCTCATTTTCATTGAGTACAAGTTGTTAACGTGTCTGCAAAGTTTGTGTAATAAAACCATTCCCTTTCTTTCTATCTTTTCACAAACCATCGTGAGAGTTTTAATGTTCACCTATGACTGAAGTGAAGGTAGGAACTTGCCAGACCAGTGACACATAATGCAGTTATTTCAAATACCTTGTGACGTTTATGTGTGATTTGCCACTTACCTTTCACGTGGCTCTAACAAATGGATTTGCGCAAGGGAAGACCTTTTGAACGGGAGACTCTCACAGCTGTGCAGAATTCTTTGGCAGACCTGAATGCTCCAAGAACTTAGACACTATTGTACTTGAAAAGTGGCAGTCTGTTCGCTTGCAGGTTCTTGAATTTTGCCTTGTGTACGCTGAGTGTAACTGACTGCCCGTACTGCGATTAAACGAGTACCACAGAACAGGAACTTTGTAATTATTGAGGCTGAATCTTACCAGGAACAAATCTGTTTGCCCTTAGGAGCTTTTTAAAAAATTATTATTCCATTGTAAATCAGACTATCCAGAATATCAGATTAGCAGATGGGGGTAGTCTGTAACTTGCAGTATTTACCTGAGTGGTTTTTCATGCTTTTAATAGGTATCTGTCAGGATTTAACTTCTTTTACATTTTGTTGTCTTCATTTAAAAAATAAAAAGGGTACGTACCAAGAAAATTGTTGAGCCCTGCTGGTGGCCTGATGCTACTGGAAAGGAGGGATCCTTTTCCATGGTCCCATCCACCCAGGTTTTGGGGTGGTTTGGGTTTTTTTTTTTATTCACCATTGAGCTGATTCAACTCTTCTTGGCAGAAAACTAGTTTTCCGGGAGAAAGTATTTGGCTTGTGAGCTGGATCATCTACGAAGGTGATGAGTTGGGAAGTTGGGTGACTTGAATCTGCTCAGCAAAGGCTGTGAAATGTGGTGAAAAAGAGGAGCAGGACGCGCCGGCGAAGGGTGATGGGAAGAGCAGGACCCCGCGTTTGTTGGCAGCCAGCAGGGAGGTGGTTGGGTTCAGACCACCCGTCTCGCACTGCTCTTGTCTCGGGGCACCGTGGGGGGATGGAGGTCAGCGTGCCTTTGCTGTGCCCCAGCTGGTTTTGCTTTCCTGGTTCGGAGCCCGTGTGTTTGGGGTTCGGCAGAGCTGCGCGGTCTTAGTGCCTTGGCGTCGGCTTTGGTGGCTTTGGTGGCGTCACGAGATTAACCTGTGGAGGAGCGGTTGAGAGGAGCGTGGTTTCTTTCATCTGTTACTGAGCGGATACCCCAAAACTTCACTGCTTTAGAGTGGTGGAAGCTTTTTAATTTCCTGTCCAAATCTAGTCACAGTTCGTTCATGTGCGCTTGTTTTCCCAGTGTTGTCCTTCCTCTTGAGTAACCTTCATCTCTGAAGTACTTCCTCCTTCACTAGAGATCAAGGCTATTCCCTTTCATCTTTTGTTTAGTTCGCCTTCTTTCCTAAGGCTGTTGACATGGTCAAGGGAGCAGGAAGTGTTTTTCGGTGTGGTTTGACTGGCGTCCAGGAGCGCACACCGCGTCGTGGCTCGCTGGTAACCTGCACAGTAGCACTTCACGTTTCCTTGGGCTTTGCTGAAGTGTTGACCTGGCCTGTTTCATTCTAGGATTGTGTTTGCCTTTTTGTGGCTGCTTTACCTTGGTGGCCTGTGTCCTCTTGTGCTGGAACGTGGCGTACTCGTTGTTCCCCTCTGGTTTTCAAGCACTTTGTTTCTGGGAGAAATCTTTTATTGACTCTGACCGTGTGAATTTGCATTTTGTCCTACTACCTGTTACCTTTTTCTACCGAATCCAGACCTCAAGGGTTTGTATTTCCCCTGATGTTGTGTTTTAGCGTTTCCTTTTATTGGCGATACCTTCCGCTAGCTTCCCTGTGAGACCCTCACCCTTGCTGTCAGGGTCAGCCGGGACATAGTAGTAGTGATTTCAAGGCGGATTTTGAGGCATTCAGGGAGTAAACTCTCCCCACCCTCGTTAATGCTTTACGTTAGCGCCATCCAAGAACCATAGCCCGTAACTTGCACGTGACATCCCATGGACTGTTTCTCTGAGATCTGAACAGACAATTGATGTTGGATTCGTCCTTGATAAGATGTCCTTGCCTGGGAGAGTAGCTGCTTTCTGCTACAATTCACTATGTTTCCCCTTCATTTCTCAGTCTCTAATAATTCTTGTCTTCAGCGTTTGGTCTAAAGTCTTGCAAGTATTTGGGGACAAGCTAATGGGGTTGGGGTTTTTTCAGGTGTGGCTTGGGTGTTTGTTTTTTTGTTGAAATGTAGGGACAATATTTTCCAGTCTTCAGTCCATGACTTTACCTTAATTTGACTGACCTGAATTCCAAAATTCCTGAATTCCAAGCCTGCAGTTTTATGGCATTTCTATCTCATTTTTGAGATTGTTACTGTCTGCTCCCCCACCCCTTCCTTGGTTATTTTTTAAATATATCATAGCCTCACTTTTTTTGTTTTTAATGATATTATGAGGGATTTTTTATTATATAGTGTGTGACCGATGGTAGCTTTCATTTTGGTGCTTCCAGGCTCTAGAGTCTCTGTTAATTCCTCCCTAGTCTTTTCAGTGTTTTTCTTGTAGTTTGCAGGTTGCCTGGCAAACAGAATTGTTTGCTTTTCAGGTTATTGGCCAATTGGCTCAGTGAAACAAAATGTCAGACTCACTTTTTAAGCAAAAAGCGTATCTCAAAAAGCCTACTCAGTGAACTGGATTTACACTGCAAAAAGTTATTTTCACTACCTGGGGTCATGACAAGAGGGGTTGACTTTTCAGCAAGGACCGAGTGGACTGTGCAGTGTTACTGGAAGCACGAGTCATATGACTACAGCGTGTCTATAATCACTATTAAATCAAAGCTAGAATTGTCTAATTTGGCTATACAAAGGTAAAAATAAACAAATGAAGCTGTGTGGGATTAAATTTCTGGTTTTCATCCCTATGGTTCTGCTTGATCTTCTGCAAAACAGCAGTTTGGAGTAGGTCTCAATTTTTTTTACCTTTCACTTCTCACGTTTGAACGCCGTTTTCACATACTTAGGATGGCTTTGTGTAAAAGTTGAGATATTTAGGTGATTTTATTTCATGTAGCTTCAGGGGGCAAATCAGTCTCTAGAAAATTTTTTATTTTAGTGACCACAGTCTTTACCAAATGCCATAACAAATTGAAAAGTTTGATAAATCAGTGCTTGAGTGCTTGTTTTCTGTTTCTAGCACAAAAGCTGACACAGGTGGAAGAAAGATATGACGTCCTAGTATTTTTATTATTTTTTTTACTGACATGTTGTTTGGCTTTGTTGGCAAGCTTGGCTCAAGGGAATTGAGGACCGAAATACCAAATATTTTGCAAGTTTGAAGGTCATACGTGCTCGGCAGCATAGAGGTAGAGCTGTCATCAGACCGGGATGGCTGATTTCGCTGTGTCAGTGTCAAATGCTAACGCTGTATCTTAGATGGGGTATAGATTTCCAGCAGAAGCAGTCAGCGAGAGATTTATGTTGTGTAATGGTGGGATAAACTTTTGGTAGGAATCAAAGTGTCACGTTGGTGACCTTGGCAGAGATTTCCGCAGAACTTTTGGGGTGCCCAGATCACGCTTGGGGAATTCTGGGGGCTGTGAGTTCCCGCAATTCTCTTCCTTTTCATGTTCATGGAGGTATTTTGAGATTCCCCTGGTTGCTCTCGCTGCTTTCCTTGCTTCCTGCCGTTGTGACTATGGATCCCACCACATCTGCAGAACTCTGCCTTGCGCTACAAGTGGGGCGCGTTGCTTTTGCACTGGCGAACCGGAGGGATCCCAGCGCTGGCTGCGCGTCGCTCAGAGGGACGCTGTAGGAAAGCTGCAGGGTGAGGAGGCTGCGAGCTCTGCCTGGCGGTGCCAGGCCCGTGAGAGGGACCGTGCACTCGCACGCTTCATGACGAACGCGCGTCTTCGACGTTACGCCAGCATCTTCGCAGACAGAGGGCTTGACGTTTGACAGGACATGAACAGGAATGCTGTTGAGGATTGCCACGTGTTGCCCGGTTGTAGTCCTCACAGTATTTTTTTTTTTTCCCTGTCTTTTGGTGTTATTTCTGTGTATTATCCAGCCTTTTCTTGTGAGAAAGGGGAAAGCACTAGCGCGGTTGGGCTGGGACTAGTGCAGCTTTCCTTTCGGATGCAGCGGTCCTTTTGGATGTCGTGTGGTAGAGGGAGTGTCCTGAAAAACTTGACCGTAGCACACCGTGGTGAAGCCTTCTTTTCTGGAAGAGCTGGTGGCAGTGTTTTAAGGCAGTAGCTTGACAAGCATTTCTTCTTTTGGCAGTAATATCAGTAAACAGTTCCCATCCCCTTCCCAGCTGCTCATTTTAGTGCTATCTCCTCTCTTGTGTTGGCATAGTTTTTCATGCAGCTGCATGGCAAATCGGATCAGGGAACCGATCCAGTTAAAAATGATTAGTTGTGGGTTTTTTCTTAATTCTTTGTGCGTTTTTAAAAATACACCAGCCAGCAGTAAGAAGCAGCGTATTTGGCTTTTGTTGTTACTTCTGTAAAAGTAAGCTCAAGTCTGGTGTTCCTTTATTAATTGGATGTATTTACAGAGTATCGGTCATGGCGCTTTTTTGAAGTTTATATTCTCTCAGCACTGAAAAAAAATTGGAAAAGGCATCCTCCCACATCTGCTTCTTCTGATCAAAGCCCATGTCTCGGCATCTGTGAAGTAGCTGTCCTTCAAGATTATCCTTCAACTGGAGCTCATGTTAAGCAAAAAACAGATGCTGTTAAATTTGTTGTGCTGGCAGGGAGGAAAACCTCAAAAGTGGTACGAGTTTGCCGTAGGGCAGCCGTCGTATTCTCACCGGCACCACGTCTGCTCCTCGAACAGGCTGCGTGGATCCAAGAGGAGGGAGTTTGTGCTTGGTAATGCCTCCATGTGCGAGCGTGCTGGCTCGGGGAGAGGAGGGGAAAGCATGGAGCTGCGAGTCAGTCGTGCTAAGCATTGCGGTAGCTCTGCTGCTCTTCAAGGTGTGGAGTTGAAAGCTTCTCGGTGAAGCCTGGTAAAACATTGAGACATGGTGTCGGCAGTGGAAGAGTTGGCCCGGGTAGCACGGGACGCTTTCTGTTGCGGGAGGCTAAGCTGATCGTGATTTCCTCTAAGGGTCCAGGAAAACTTCAATATATTCTCTGGCAAGTGGTTTTGAGTCTCTGGTAGAGGATGAAAGCGATGCTTGTGTCAACATAACGAGCACCATAAGGGGAGGAGAGCTGTTGATGGGTCCTGGCAGGCCGAAAGAGCTGGAGCCCCGCAGAGCTGCACCACTGCACTTGGTTTACCCCGTTCTTTACCTGGCACTCTTTGGGGGGAATCTGTTTTTTTTTTTTTTTTGGCTCAGCATGTGCAAAGCGAGGTGCTTGGTTTCGCAGTGTTTGCACCGCAGGGTCAGTTTACAAGCTTGCATTTGACTGGCTTGTAAACCATCAAGGTAATTTTAAATTTCCTACGTGTTTTTAGGTCTGAGGATCTATGTCAGCTTGTTTCTTTGCTGTGATAGTTTAAAGAGAGTGCTTTTCATAGCAAATCAGATAGGTCTGTCCTCTCAAAGCATCTTGCGTGTAGTTTGTGGGTGCAATTATGGTTTTGTTTTAAAGTGAAACACCCAATTTGATTTGCTTCCCATTTTGAAAGGA